AAAAAAAAAAAAGACTGATCCAGCCAAGCACTAATCCACCAACCAGCAACAAATGTCACCAGGTGATGTTGTTGGGCAAACGACTTTTCATCACTGAGCGTATTTCCTAGATGGTTAAAAAAAAAGGATCTTTGTAAAGATCAAGATCCTGCATACAAAAATGCACTACAAAATGGAAGTCGGTGCTATTATTAAATCTCAGGGATGTTTGTATTCTTGGCTCACAGGAATAGGTGAAATTTCAAATTTCTGGTGAAGAAGGCATGGGGAGGCTGAGGGCTCTGCCCAGAATCTCTCAAATCCTAGCGGTCAGCCTGCCCAGCCTTGAGGGCTCTGGCAAGGTACCCAGAGAGAAGTCAGCTCCTTAAGTCCGCTCTTCCGGGTGAGGCTGTCGCGGGTGATAAGAGCCTCAGGTTCCCTCTCCCCACTCGGGCTTTCTCTCTAGTCAGCTCGGCATCTTTGAGGCTATCCTGAGCTCCTGACCCAGGGGAGTAAGACCTGGATTTGCTGGCGCTCAGACAAACTTTCTCCCACTTTGTGCCTAAGCCTCGAGGGGGGCACCTACACCCATCTCGAGCCCTTTCCATTTCACTTAGGGGAAAATGCGGCATTAAAGAGAGGTCACTGAAGAGCCCCGAAACTCTCTAGTCCCAATCTCCTTCCTTTCCTCCTCCCCGAGCCCCACCTTTTTTTGTTGCCGCTTCCCACCCCTTAACCTTATGGAACTGGACGGCTGCTTACGGATGGGCCTCACCCGCGAGTCGAAGGCGCACCGCCGGCCCCTTTAAGGGGCCGGCCGTTCGCCTCCCTGACCTCGCCCCGCCCCGCCCGCTCGAGGGCCACACTGCGCCTGCGCGACGCGCCGGGGCCCTGGGATTGGGTAGATCTCAGTTCCGTGCAACTTTCAAGTAAGTTACAAACTCGGCCCCAAGGCTGTTGCCGGAAACGGGGCGCCCTGAGACCGTGGGCACTCCCACTAGAGAAGGCCTCGACCCGCCACACTCCGCCTGGTGCCCGCAGCGGCGCCCAGGGGAGAGCAGAGCGCCTGGTTCTCCGAGACAGAACGTGCGGGTAGGAGCCGTAACTGCCCCGGCGGAAGAGCGCGTCCGCCCGCATGCGCTCCAAGTCAGTTCCTGGGTGTTCTGGTCTCTTCGCCCCAGCCAGCTGGTCTTTCCGCACTGCGAAGTTGGGGGTCGGCGGACTCCACCCCTGCCAAGGGGCAGCTTGAGCGCTTGTCTGGTTCCAGCATCTCTGCTGATTCCCCCTTCCCAGCCCCGCGTGAGCGTCTCTCGGGGCGACTTCTTGGGGCTCTCCCTTCGCCCTTGAGACTGCAGGATGGTGTGCTGGATGATCTGTCGCCTGGTGGTGTGAGTATGGCCGCTTTCACACCCTTTCTCCCCGGTGCCAGCCTCGCCCCTAGGGTGGAAGCTGGGAACATCAGGTAGTAAAGGAGACTTTCTGAGCTCCGTAACAGCAGCTGTCCCCTCCCCGCCCATCCCCCACCCCAACACTCACCGCAAAGGTTAACGGATCTGCGGCCTGCACGCGGCATCTGGCACTGCGAGCTTGTCTTCTCAGCCCCCTAAGCCTCCTTGGCTGATATCGACCCCTTCCGCACTCACACACAAGGCATACAGGTGCGAGGGGTGGATGACCACAGGCTGGCCCTAAGCCCCTTGACAAACACAAAGTGTTGTGGGCGGAGAATCCAGGTGCCTGCTTCCCATATGAGCAGTCACATGACTCACCACCCTGGCCTCACCTCCCCCTTCTGTCCTACTCCTCACCTTTCAATACTTAGTACCTGGCTTGAATATCCCTGTCTGCAGCCTGGCGGTTTAAGGTCTAGTGGCCCTGAGCCTGATTGCATGTCCATGGGAGGGGACAGCCTGGTGGTCTCACCAGCTCACAAGACTGCCTCCCACCCACCTTGTTGAGTGGCTGTGTGTGCTCTGGCTTTATCATGCACCCATGGGCCACTGCTCAGGCCTGGGCAGGCTTGGGATGTTTGTAAACAGCAGGGCGGGGAGGTGGCCTCCAGGGTACTGACTCAAATGCAGGTTGTGCAAGCCAAGCTGGAAGAACAGGGTAGGCGCTGTCACTTCACACCTGTGGGGGAGGCAGCCATCTGTGGGGGGGGGAGGTCATGGTGCCCCTCACATTCCCCTTTGCTTTCTGGACTGCTCTTCCAGGCTGGTGTTTGGGATGCTGTACCCAGCTTATGCTTCCTACAAGGCTATAAAAACCAGGAACGTTCGTGAATATGTGAGTATGGGGGTTGGCAGGCGGGCTTGACTCAAGTGGGGTGGGATGACAGCCTTGGGGGGTATGGTAGGACTTGGTGAGATGGGGACAGTTTGACCTGGCCTCCCCCTCCTCCAGGGGCAAAATTGGCTGTTGGATCCTGAGCAGAGTGGGTGTGGGTGGAGGGTGAGCTATTAGGATACCTGTGCAGGACCTTATGGGTGAAGCCCGCTGGGGGTGGGTACTGGAATGAGTGGCAGTTTCTCAGAGGCAGCTCTCTAGGGCTATCCAGATGCCAAGAGAATGCAGCGGGACAGGCTGTCTGGCATCTCGGGGCTGGGTCAGCCTGGAACAGGGGAGTTGGCTTTGCAGGCTTAGTTGCTGGCTTTCTGACCTCCCTGCCCCCTCCCAGGTCCGGTGGATGATGTATTGGATCGTCTTTGCACTCTTCATGGCATTGGAGATGTTCACAGATATCTTTATTTCCTGGTATGGGTGCAGGGCTCTGTGGGCTGTGGGAAGGAATGGCCCATCCTCAGCCCGGCTCCCTGGCTGACCGTGCTCCCCTGTGCTCTGACAGGTTCCCTTTCTACTATGAGCTCAAGATGGCCTTCGTCCTGTGGCTGCTGTCCCCCTACACCAAGGGGGCCAGCCTGCTTTACCGCAAATTCGTCCACCTGTTCTTGTCGCGACATGAGGAGGTACCCCAGGGAGAGGCAGGGAGGGAAGCATATGGGTGGGTGTGAGGGAAAGAGCCCCGAACTCAGAGTTCAGGACACTGGGGGACAGCTGAGTTCTGATCCCAATCCTGCTGCTGTTTACCTGTGGAACCTTGACAGAGCCTAGCATTCTTCTGCTTCTGGGATAATCAAATGGGGACACGTGTGAGTGGCCTTTTGAGAGTGTGAAACATCAGCTGGAAGTTGGTTTGGGGATGGCGGGGGCAGGCTGGAGCATGGCCGTTCACTGAGGTGTGGGAGTGGGTGGGTGGGTGCGTGGGGAGCCCTGCTCGTGGTGTGGTTTCGGGCCTCCTGTGGGTGGGAGTAGGCTGGGATGCGACGCAGCCAGTGGCTTCTCTGGGCCTGCAGAGGAGGAGTGACTCGAGCTGTCCCCTGCTCTCTCTGCCTTCGTCTACAGGAGATTGACACATACATCATGCAGGCCAAGGAGAGCATCTGTGAAACGGTGGTCAGCGTTGGAAAGCAGGGCCTCAACATTGCTGCGACAGCCGCTGTGCAGGCTGCCACCAAGGTGCCCTGGGCCCCAGCCCTCCAGCAGCCCCTCCCCACCCCCAGTGCCTTTTGGGCAAGTGCAGCTCTCTGTCAGGGCCCGTATCGGCACAGGGGTGAGAGGTGACAGTAGGGTATTGGCAAGAGCAGGGAGCTGGAGGTGCACACTTCCCTGGCTCTGACACTGACTGCGAGTGGCTATTTCTGCTCTGTGAGACTTAAGTTTCCTGTCGGTGCCACAAAGGCCTGGGGCTAGAAGGTTGCCATGTGGCTTTCAGTTCTGTGGCCTGTTCCCCAGCGATTACCTGTTGGTCAGCCCTTGATTTCCCTGGGCAGCGGCCCTGGCTGAAGCTCCTTCCTGCTTGGAGCCCTGCCCCCTCCCGCGGGTGATGCAGCGGCTCTCCCTTTCTTGTAGAGTCAGGATGCGCTGGCCGGAAGGCTACACAGCTTTTCCATGCAGGATCTGCGCTCCATCCCCGACACCTCTGCCTCCACCTACCAGGATCCCCTCTACCTGGAGAACCAGGTTCCCCGCCGAAGGCCACCCATCAGTGAGTGGGCAGAGGGATGAATGACTTCCTCCATTCAGGCTGTGGCTTCCCTGGGGCTTGGCCCTGGGCCTTCAGACTGTGAATTCCCAGATTTGCCTCCCTGGCCTCCCTCTCTTCCACACAGGATACCAATCCCTGCAGCCCTACTACACAGGATTCCCAGCCAGGGGCCAGCAGAACAGTGAGGAAGGGGAATGGTCCGGTACTGAGGATGAGGAATCCGATACTGAGGATGAGAGGAATGTTCCGATACCGAGGCCGCCCCATCCAACAACCCGGCTCCGAGAGAAGCCTCTGAGCCGCAGCCAGAGCCTGCGTGTGATCAAGAGGAAGCCGCTGGTGCGGGAGGTCAGTAGCGAGGAAGGCACCAGGGCAGTGGGCTGCGCTGGGACTTCAGCCTGGCCCTCTCATGGTGTGCCTGCTCTCTCCCACAGGGCACCTCACGCTCCCTGAAGGTCCGGACAAGGAAAAAGACTGTGTCCTCAGACACGGGCAGCTAGGGTCTACAGAACCTGCCCAGTCTTAACCTCGTGCCCTGCAGGGTGCTGGGGCTGTTTGGAGGGGCCCTCTGGCTGCACGTCAGGCCTGCCTGCATCAGCTGCCCAGGCTCTGCCCTCCTGGCTCTTGGCGGTTGGTTAAGGGCCAGGGGCAGGTGCTGAGGGGCCATGCACAGAGATGACCTGTTGTACAATGTACCAAAGACTGTGCCCAGGGTTCTACTTATTGCCTTTCTCATCCCTCTACCTTGGCATTGATGGGACCAGAGACCTCCCAGTCCCCTGTGAATGCAACCAAAGCCCACCCAGCTGTGTTCATTCCTTCCTGTCCTTCAAAGTTCTCGATAGCTTTCTCCAAGGCCTGTGTGTGTGTGTCCTCGTTGTGTGTGTTGTGTTGGTAAATGACATCAGATTTGTGCAAGTTTTGATAAATAAATGTATAAAAATGTTTTGTTTCTCCTGGTTTTTATTCCCAGTCCTCACAGCACACATTATTAAACAGCCTAGGAGGAGGGCTAAAGGACAGACAGATTGCTAGAGGGGTCCAGTCTTCTGGGGGAGATAGCCATTGACAAATAGCTATGATGGGGCAAGTGCTGTCACAGAAAGCTCTTGGGGACCCCTGAACACAGATGGGAGAGTGGAGGACTAATAGTGAGGTCAGAGCCTAAGAAGACTGCGGTAAGGAGGAGGCAGGATTGGCCTTGACGGGAAGGTGTATTGTATGATAGGCAGAGAGACCAGTGGGAGCAAAGGTGTGGTGGGGGCTTGAACACATGATGATCTGGTGAGGTTGTGGAGCTGTGGAGCAGATTGCATCTGGGAGACTGACTTCCTCCATAGGTCTTTAGGGGTCTCCAGGCAGCTCAGGGGCATTGAGCTCTATAAATACTCAGAAAACATTGGGAGCATTGCACCTCTGCAGAGTGGCCGCGAGAGGGCAGCAGCTGCTAGGGTCTGGGCTGCCCCCAGCTTCCAGGTCAAGGAGGGCGGGGCTTGGAGGCTCGCCAGAGCCTTGCCTTGCAGGAGCCTGGCTGCGGGCTGGCTGGAGGGACCATGCAGAACTCTGGCTTGGCCTCCAGTGGCTCCTCCTGCTGCTGCTCCCTGCTGCTCATGGCCATTGGTCCTCAGCCTGCCCCAACCACGGAGCCTCTTGTGTTGTCCTGAAACTCAGGCTCGGTGCCTGGGCTGGCTCCACGCTATCCCTTACCCTAATCCTGGTACAGCAAGTCAGGCTGTGCCCTTTCCTGGCCCTGGATGCTGGTGTCACCCAGGGTTGCTCCCCTCTTCCACCCATGCCTGCTCTTCCATTCTGCTGTTGAATAAGCAAAGGGTGGATGAGGGTGTTGGGTGGGAAGAGGGGAGATGGGGTGGTAACCTGGAATGACCCAAGGAAGGTGGATTAACTCTTGGTGTGGGGATTATCAGGGTTTTATTTGGGGGAGGGACTGAATCTGCCAGGGTGGTTTAACTCCTCACATCTTGGTGTTCGGTGACTTTCTACCTTGGCATTCCCTTGCATCGTGGTGTTGCCTTATCTCTTCATTTATTAATTCAAAAAATCTTTATTGAGCATCTACCAGGTACGAGGCATATTGCCAAACACTGGGGGATGCAAAGTCTAGTAATGGCTAGCATTTGGAATGTGACCACCCCAGCAGGTGCTGCTCTAAGCGCTTGACACACATTAATTTAATCTTCACAACAATCTCATGAGGTACACACTATTATTATTATAATCTCCATTTAACAAATAGGGAATCAGACACCAAGAGGGCACACAGCTAGTAAGTGGCAGAATTGGGCTTTTTACCAGGCAGTCTGGCTCCAGAGTCAGTGTACTTAACTGCTATGCGGGACTAAAGTAAATGTGATGTTTCTTGCCTAGGAGGCAAGAAGAAGGAGGCTAGGATGTATCAAACATTGGTATGCACCTGACCTTGTGCTGGGCACCTGACAAAGATGATTTCCTTGAATTCTCCCAACAAGCCTGTCAGGTAGGAGTTGTACCCATTTTACAGATGGAAAAACTGAGACTCGGAGAGGCGAAGCAATTGTGCTTCCCAAGGGTTGGGGCCCCATCTCCTGATGCAAGCCTGCCCCGAAGCGGCCTTGATAGAAGTGGAATGGCAGGATCCACACCCCTACACTGAGGGAACAAAACAGAAGAGTGTGATAAATGGGGCAAAATGAAGCAAAAACTCCAAGAGAGAGGGCGCCGTGGGTGGGGGGAGGAGGGGAGGCCTGGAGGTGTGTGTGTGTGTGTGTGTGTGTGTGTGTAGGGGAGGGCGGTGAGGGAGCTCTCATGGGAGCTGGTCTACACATGCCCTCATTCCTAGGATGTGGCCTTAGAGTGGGCAGCAGGGTCGCTTGGGCCCCTGGGCTGAACTGGTGATGCTGTTGCAGGTCCATGATTCCTGCCTTATACCCTGACCTCCTCGCTGGACCGGTGTCCCCACAACTCCTGCTTTCGGCCACGCGGCTCCTATTTCTGTCTCCTGAGCACATCACATTTATTCCAGCATCAGCCTCCAGGCCTTTGCTCCAGCTGAATGAATCTCAGGCCCTCCAGTCTTTTCTTTCCCACCCTGTCCTGTCCTTCCTTCCAGACCTGCTTTCTCTGAGGGGCCTTCCCTGACTTGCCACCTGCTCCTCGAGGTCCTAAGACTCCTGCTCTCTGGGCTGTTCACCCTGTCCTGTGCATACGATGCCCATCGCCCTCCCCAGCCCTCCCTTCTCAGCTGGCCTCTTCTACACCCAAACTGCTTCGTGTTGCCCACCTCCGTCAACCTGGACGGTTGCCTGGCTCCATGCTGTTCCCCTGACAGGTTCTTCCTCTCCACCCCACAAGCTGTCCTATTCCTATCTGCCCTTTGAAGCCCACTTAGACATCATGGCCCTGAGGAAGCTCTCTAACCACTCCCCCTGCCTCCTTGGAGTTGAGTGCTCGTCTAGACCATGCCATCTCTGTTCTCGCGTGGACTTTTGTTTTTACCTTGAGCACATCATATTTTCTCTCCCTCTGCATGGTGATTTCACGAAGAGCAAGCTGGCATCTTAACCACTTTTGTATCCCAGCCGGGAACAAATGGTAGTTTAGCCCAAGTGAAATATTGTCATTCACAAGTGGCTCTGTGGTGAAGGTTCCACTTATTCTCTGAGGTCTGAGCTCAAGCGTCACCTCCTCCGTGAAGCTCCTCCCACTTCCCCAGGGTGGGACTAGGAGCACCTTGTACTCATTAACACGCCAGACTCCTGTAGTCACCCTGCAGTGCCCAGAACAGGGCCTGACACCTAGGAGGCCTCAGCAAATGACTGCTGGTAAAAGAACAAATGCATTAAGTGAGTCTAAGCTCCTCCAGGGCAGCGATGTCCTTGCTTTCATTTTGTGCCCTCTATTTCCTTGGTGCCCATCACAGAGACTTGAACAATGCCAGGGGCTCTATGACACACGTTTGGTGAATGGCTGCTGCAGTTGTATGGGTTCCAAGACATCTCGGGGCCAGAGGGGGAGGGGTGAGAATGCCAAGTCCTGGGGCATTTCTGGCCCAGCACACACGTGTTCCTGAGACTGGGGCGTTGGTGTGGACTGGGCTCCCCTCAGAGCCTGCCGTATCCCTCTGAGGATCACTGGACATCTGCCAGCACTCCCTCCCTCTGCATGGGGTTCCTGACCATCCTTCACCCTCTCTGGCCTGGCCCCTAGGCAAAGGCTAGGCTGTGTTTTGGCCTGCCCGTGGCCCCCAGCCTTCCATTATCCACCAGTGTGCCCACCGCCTCCCCAGGCAAGATCAGGGCGGGGCCGCCTTTCCACCTAGCCTGGAGCAGAGATGTGCCAGGCTCCACGCTGGGCACCGGGTGGGGAGATGAAGCAGCCTAGGCCAGCCCCCTCCGAAGCACATACCCGGCTTGGTTTCCTCGTCAGCCTCCCCATCCTTCCTGCCTGCCTCTGAGGGCCTCATCCATGGCCTCCAAGTCCCCAGGTGCGGGCGTCCCTCCCTTTCCCCTCCTCTCCACCGCTCCATCGTCCCTTGGACCTTTCAAGCGGCTCTTCTCTCTCGGCTGCCCCTCTCCTCCTTGTAGCCCCTCCGTGACCTGGTCTCCTTTCCCCAGCTCTGGCCTCCACGTGCATTGGCTCCGCTGCCATATTTCAGTGGCTACTCTTGGCGGCTGCAGCGGAGTTAGGCCCTTGTTTCCCGCAGCCCTAGCCTAGGAATTGCGTTTGGGAGTCCTGGCTAGCACTGCCTCACACGTGAGGGGGTTGAGGACATGAGCACTCAGGGCCCGTACCTGTCTTGTCCGCTGCCCAGGATCACGGACTGGGAAGTCCAATAGCTGGCGAGGGCACAGAAGCCTGGGCAAGAGGGTGATGCTCGCTGATCAGGAAATCCTAGGGGCCAGAGCTGGAGTCGCTAGGCGGAAGTTCCCCAACCCAGGCGGAATGAGGTAGCTTGCTCTGCCGGGTGGTTCGCTTGCCCAGGAGAGGTTGTGGGGAAGAGGACAGGGCACCGGGGAGGCAAGGACTGAGAAGAGGAGTAGGTCGGGGATGTGGGTGGGTGGGTGGACGATATGGGAAGGGGGCATCTGCTGCGGAGCTTCCTCTTGGCTCCAGAAGCATCTCCACACTTCCTTTGCTGTCCCTTCCCCCCAGGTCTTGGGAAAATTCGCCCCGGCATTCCCCCTCCCCCATGCCCCCGCCCCAGGCGTTGCCACAAGGGTGGGGAGTGGGGTGGGGGCAGGCCGGCCTCAGCTGTCTGAAGGATGGAGGGGCTGGGGAAGTAGGGCTAGGTGCCCAGACGGCCGCGTGTGTGGGAGGGGATGTCCTCAGATGCCCTCCACCCGGCAGTCCCCGCTCTGACGTGGGTGCCCCCCCTCTCCCCGCCCGGATTAGTGGCAGCTTGGCCTGACTCTCCGGGGCTCCTTCCCCCGCCCCCGCCTGCTGCCCTCCCCTGGGCAGGGGGCTGCTCCACCCGAGGGGCACTGTGCTTGCCCAGGTAAGGGGCTCTGGGGACAGCGTGAGGGCAGCCGGCTCGTGAGCGCTGCTGTGCTTGTCAGCATGAATGTGTGTCTCAGTGTGTGTGATGTGTGTGTGTGTGCTTGTGTCAGTGTGCAAGGGGTTGGTGTGGGGCCGGGTGGGCCCACGCGTGTCTGTGGGTGCTGGTCAGCTTGCCTTTGTCCGCGAATCCAGCATTGTGTCCACGCACTGTGTGGCTTCCCTTCTGTGTTTGTGTCTTTTGTGTGTCTCCTCAGCTCTGCTCTGCCCTCAGGCACAGAAGAGCCAGCTATCAGGGCTCTGTGGGCCTGTGGCATGGGCTGTGGAGCAGGATGGGGAGCTGGGTGAGGGCGGAAAGGGGCACCTTCCCCCACCCCACCCCACGAACGACCCCTTGGGCATTTCAGGAGCCTGCCCTGAGAGTCCTGGTTTAGTCCAGAGACTGTGACCTGACAAAGCA